CTTTTTGCTGGTCTTTCATTCAACATGTTGGTCAAAGCTTCTATCAGGAAAACTTCAATCTCCTTATAGAGGGGTCTATTGTGCCAAAAGTGAACTATTGGCCACAATTTTAATCTCAGAATTATAAGAAGTCTTTATGATACCCTTAGCATCCAGTGAGTGTATCACCTTCTCTGTTTTCTGTATCTGATATGATCATTCAGTTAAACTTGATATGCCTATACATGTTCCCCCTTTGAATAGTGGTTTGGAACATCTAGAAAGATTACAGAAATTTTACTTAGAGGCTGTTGACACTGTTGCTGTGCATACATATAATTTCTGGCTTGTGTGTATTCTGTGACTCCTTAATGAACAGGTATGAGGGGTTTTTCAGCATTTATATTAATACTCATAAACTTGCTGAATTATCAGCAGTGGAAAAACTTGGCACTGCTGATTATACAAAAAGACCACCAAAGAGAACTTGTGTCTGCGCAGCTCAACTTGAAGAGTATATAGTAAATACTGAGACTAAGCAATATGCTGAGGAGTAGCCTGATCTGAAACACATCAAAGTCAAAGTGAATTTTAACTTCAGTAGCGAGTACATCAGAAACTTTTGTAGCTAGGGAATGCAAATTTCCCCTCCCACCCCACTCAACTTTTACTATATTATTTTTAAATTTCATTGCAGAGCTCTTTATCCTTTATAGACATGAAGGTCCTAACATTTCTGTAAGTCCGAAACTAAAGGCATGGAGAAAAGAAACTTCCACGAAATACTTCTCTGAAAATAAATTTCCACAGATAGAGTGCTGTGGCAAATTCTGTTTGAATTTTGTTCACTGCAACATTACTGAGCTTTTTTGAACAGGTACTGTAGTCTAATGCAATTTTTGGCATGAGAAGTATAGGGAGCCCTTGAGGGCTGGCACACATACCCCAGCTGGTTGCCAGCCCTGGTTCGCCTGCCCCCCAAGGCAACCTACTTTGCTCACAGACGAGGTGGTGGCCTCTTGTTGGTTGCAGAGGCCTCAGGGCTGCTGCCCCTCCTCCTCGGGACTTGCCGTTGCCTCCCAGTGGAGTGCTCCCTGCCCCCGCTGGGAGTGGAGGGTCCGGGCACGGCCCCCTCTGGCTGCTGCTGGGGCTCTTCTTGCTGCAGTGGTGAAGGCACTGGAAGCAGAGGGGTGGCTGGGAAGCTCATCCCTGGTGGATCTTGCTGGGCTGCTGAAGGTCCCTGGGCCAGGGCAAGGAGACCTTCCTGCTGGCCTAGCAGATGGCGGGCCTCCCTGACACACCACTGCACAGCAACCCGGATAAGCTGTTGCACAAATGTCACAGTGCGGGTGTGGAGATAGACCCCAAGCATCTGGACCAGCACCTCTTCATTCATGCCATAGTTTGTCAGGAGGACCATGATGGTGTTCTCCACTATGGCTGCCTCCAGCCACCGGTTTCGAAAGATCTGCTGCAGCCTATGTTCAGCCCAGGACAGCACGGTCTCAAGGAGGGTCGGGTGGTCCTGAAAAAGGTTTATCCCTTCCTCAGTCTGGAGGTGGCCCACAGGATCCCTGGGCACCCCTTCTGCAGCCTGTGGATGGGATGCTCCAGGGTGATGGAAGTCACGGGAGGCTGGGCGACTGGGCATTTCTGCCTGGTGAATGATGACTGGTGGTGTCAGAGGTGATGTGATGATATGCTCCCTGTAGTCATCGTCTGCCTCCACTGTGTGCAAGATGGACTGGATCCTCCTCCTGCAGAGGGGGCACTCGGGCTTGATCTCAGCCCATTGCAGGATGCACTGGTAACAAAACTGGTGGAGGCATGGCATCACATAGCTTATGTCTTCCCAGCTGCCCAGGCAGATGGGACAGCGGTCTTCAGGCACCATGGCCATGCTCTCTACAGGCTGCAGTGGGTTGGAGGGAGTTGGTGATGTTGAGCTGCTCCCTGTCTCCGGTGCTGCAGCAGCGGGTGTTGTGCTAGGAAGAGAAGAGAGGCCACGGTCATTTGTTGGCTGGGAAGGAGGGAAGAAATGCCCAGGTCCTTCAAGAAGAAAACCGTCCCACCTCCCCAGGGTGAGGTGTCCCTGCACAGCTCACCTCTGCTGCTGTAAGCTCGACTCGGGGGTATTCTGGCAGGGCTGGGAAAATCCTTCAATAGCTCTGGAGCTGAGCCCTGAGAGCTGCAAAGAATGACTCTTAAAGCACAACACCAGCACAAAGGCCTTGCTTAACAGTCCAGACCTTGCAAACACCACAGCTGTGCCTGCTGCAGAGCTGCCAGTCCAAAGCACCATGCGCCAGAAGACCCTGTGTTAAAACATCTGTTCCTTAGTTGCAGCTTTGCGTTATGGACTTTCCCTTCTTACATGGTCTTCCATAAAGTCCTCTCCGCATGTGCTCATGTAACTCATTTAAAGGCTTTGGCCAGCTGCAAGTAGAGAGGTCTATTAACCCTGTTCATAAACATCCTGATTTTTTTTAATGCTGATTCCACAGACTGCTGGATGGCTTCCCTAAAATTTTACCTTTAGTTCAGTTGTGAAGGGCACATTGTTTTTACTGCTGTATCCTGCACAGCAATAGAAACAGGAACTGAACTTCTGATCCTTTCGTCTGCTTCTGTCCAAGCTTAATGCAAGGTGGGAAAAGAGAGCTGCAGTAACCTAAATAAAACACAGAAAACAGTATTTTGTCAGTTAACGTTCAGAGGTTTCATATTCAGTATATATACGTTTTTCTTAGTATATACACACTGGGAAAGAAATACAGGATATGCAGTGATGTTGTAAACACAAACAATGGGGTTTATTCTTTCATGTATTGTTGCCTTGTTAGTCTAAAGTCTGCATAATACACTACAGATAAGAGAGGCTGTCACTTATTTTGTATACTTAAGAGCATTTCAATATCAAGTTGTCACAATTGAACTTCAAAGACAAGGAAAATAAAAATTTTGTTAATACAATTGAGAGATACTCCCTAAGGAAAAGTTTAACACAGACAAATAATACAAACATAAGCACTTCATACATTTTTCATATGAATATAACTTTTCAGATTAAGTAATTTCACAGATGCAAAGGCAATAATAGGATTTTTGTTCTCTTTCTAGACTGAAGGAAGGTGTTGAACTGTCCTAAATGGAGATCCTTCCTTCTTAGGCTACATAAACTGTAGATGTAACAATCTGTGGCCAGCCTTGATTAAACAGTGTTGTTGCTTAACCCCAGACAGTAACTCAGAACCATGCAGCCATTCACTCGCCCCTGCTTTCCCTCCCCCCCCACCTCCGGGCAGGGTGGAGAGCAGAATCACAAGAATGTAAACCCCATGGGTTGAGATAAGAGCAGTTCAAAATATCAAGTATAATACAAAACTATTACTTCTAATAATAGTAACGATAGGGGAAATAACAAGGGGAGAGAATATAAAACTAAAAAGGAAAAAAAAACCAACAATAAACACAAGTGATGCACAATACAATTGCTCACCATCTGCCAACTGATACCAGCCTGAACCGAGAAGTGATGTGGGCCTTCCAGATGACTCCTCCCCCCCCCCCCAGTTTATATACTGGGCATGACGTGCTGTGTTATAGAGCACCCCTTTGGCTAGTTTGGATCAGGTGTCCTGTGTCTGCTTCCTCACGGCTTCTTGTGCCCCTCCTCACTGGCAGAGCATTGGATACTGAAAAGTCCTTGATCAGAGTAAACATTACTTGGCAACAACTAAAACATCAGTGTGTTATCAGCTTTGTTCTCAGGCTAAAACCAAAACACAGCACTGCACCAGCTACTAGAAGAAGAAAAAGAACTATTAGATTACATTACATTGCAAAGAGAAAAATAACAGCTGAACCCAGGACAAACAGTGATTGGACTGAGGAACCATTTGGAAGAGAAAGTATATGAGAAAGTATAAGAAAAACTCGTACTGTTCCAAGAAACAATAACTCGACCAGTGAACTCACCTAAGTAATTGTAGTTGTGGACCACTTCATCTGACCTAAAGATATGCTTGCAAATACTCTTGCTGGAGTGTTCTTCCCAGTATCCATTAGTCATTTAAAAGTCTCTAAAACAAGAATTAACCAAATTCAACTTTTGTATTCTGATGTCTTCAGTAACTTGAAAGAGAAAAAAGTAATTCCAGCACAATGCTTAGCTGTCCAGGCAGTGTAAACCACCAGTGAGGCTTAAAGAAAATAAATTTCTCTGTTGACAGTGTAGGTTAGAGACTGGGATAACTCAGGGAAGACAGGACACAAAAACATTGCTCCTGTAGCTAGAGTTCTGTAGAGTCCTTGTGCATATTTTTAAGGAATATATATTGAACTATAATAGTGTTACACTGTGTGTGTATATGATCTATATATAAAAACATGCTTTTTATTTTTTAAAAATAAAAGATGTTTATGCTATATTCATTATTATTCTTCAGAGATCGCGAACTTGATTGACTCCCGTGTTTTTATTGGTATTCTGCCTTCCTATTATGTAAGGTGACAAGACACTATAATTTTTTCATTATTATTATTGGTAAATCTCTGTGGAGAAGAATGTTAACTATTTTAATATAAGACTTTTGTCCATACTCAGCCCACATACTGGCATAAGCTACTCATAAGCAAAATTAGAATGGCACAAAACCAGAAAGAAAAACTTTTCACTGAATCTGTCTTACCTAGTTATTTCCTTGTCTTGGAAAACACCTCAAGGCCAGGACCAAAGGATAGATGAAGGTGTTCAGGAAAGTGAAAATGTCAGGACCTCTGTATGGCTAGGCAAAGAAGAAAAGAGGCAAAGAGTCAAAGGTAACTTGTTCAGTTATAGGAAACTTTTCTATTGCTTTATAACAAGGAAAAACTTCAATTGCGATTTAGAAAGAGCACTTCTAAGGTAAAACCAAAAATCTTTTAAAAAATGTGCTTCTGACATACCACATATGAATTGCCATGTTACTAGATTATTCTCTTATTTCCAGCTGATCCTCATGTCTCCGTCTGTTTTTCAGATACAGAATACTTTCGCTTCTTGGAAAAGAAAAAATCATGGCTTCCAGCACAGTGAACCCTGCTAACCATTTGCCATACTTCTTTGGCAATATTACACGTGAAGAAGCAGAAGAGTATCTGATGCAAGGAGGAGTGAGTGATGGACTATACTTGCTCCGCCAAAGCCGGAATTACCTGGGTGGCTTTGCTTTATCCTTGGCCCATGGAAGGAAGGTTCATCATTATACCATCGAGAGGGACCTGAGTGGCTCATATGCAATTGCAGGAGGCAAGTTGCATGCCAGTCCTGCTGAACTCATTAACTATCACTCAGAAGCAGCAGATGGCCTTATCTGTCTGTTGAGAAAACCTTTCAACCGACCACCAGGCGTTGAACCCAAAACAGGACCCTTTGAAGATTTAAAGGAGAACCTCATCAGGGAGTATGTCAAACAAACTTGGAATTTGCAGGTAAGTCCAGGATGATTTTGCCATACAGTGGTCTTTGAGTTAGGAGAAAAAAGAGATTGCAGTGTTTATTTCCAGCTATTACTGTTGCATACTGTGGCATTTTTTCACAGTGGAACCATAGCTGTTGAGTTTTGAGCAGTGGGGGTGGTTTTGGTTTTGTTTTGTTTTTTTTTTTTCCCAGTGCATGCAGTATGCTGGCCATAATAGTTTTCCTTAAATTTTACAAAACTTAGGAGCTTTATGATGTCTTTGGCTGGTATAGCCTTATTTACCATCTATCTATCTAGCACTAATCTGTGTCATCAGATTTCCACATGCGCCAAAATAGATGTAATGAACAAGATATAGAAATGGTTTGTTTATTGCTTTTGTTTCTGAATTTTTGTTCATTGATGTGCAGGCAGGCATGGTGACATGGTGACTTGCTTTGCATCCTCCCCTCTTAGCTGGCCTCCTGCCTATTTAAATTTGTCCAAAACAGAACTTGGTTTCTTAACTGCAGATACCGCTTATACATCTTTGGTACTGCCTGTGTCAAGCAGGTATGTTCCATGCTGGGGAAGACAGGTTGGATTTTTTCCTTAGAATGACTGTGAAGAAGCCAGTCCTAACATGGAAACACTATTGTAGGAGACTGCAGTGGGAATTTTGTTTCACCTTGGGATGCCATGAATTACCATTATGAACTAATGGAGTTACACTAGGTTTTTCATCTCTTTTGTTACTAGCAAGTAACCTTGTGTGTTTTGTTCTCTAAAGTATATCAAGCAATTCACAAACTGGAAAAGCCTGAATCTTACTGCAAGTGTTGAGGCTTACAGTTCTTTCTGATGAGTCTGAGCCCAGTCTAGAAGGAAGTTGATGAACTCAAGCTAAAAACTGATGAAACTAGGGGGTTTTGCCCTCAAATTCTGGGCCGAATTTACAAGTGGTAGGTTGTAGGTTTATAGGTATATAGGTTATATAAAAATATTAACATAGTTCACTCTAAAATTGGGACTGTCCTGCCTGCTTTTGGGGAACTTGTACTGATGTCCTCAACATAAACACATTTCAGCAGTTCAAAGCATGTTCAGTTTATTTCAGGAAACTGTCATAGGATACTGAGACTATGTATAGTTAGCTATGTCTCAGTGTAAAAATACGGTGTAATTTTCAGTTATATACTGATATATTAAAAGATTAATTTACTACTTACTTTTCTTTCTATTTATCAGAGGTAAAGGAAGAATTCCAGCTCTGTGATGTTTAGATTATTATACATTACTTTCTGGTTTAATATTTGCATAGCAACCAGATCTTTTCTTTATATATGTGAAGATTATAGATGTCCCAAAAGCAATCCTTTACTGGGAGTCTACCTGTCATGTTTTCAGTGCAGGAGACAGTTTGACTGTGTTTTTACCGCTCTCTAGGGGCATGCTCTTGAACAAGCTATCATTAGTCAAAAGCCTCAGCTGGAGAAGTTGATTGCCACTACAGCCCATGAAAAGATGCCATGGTTCCATGGGAGGATCTCACGGGAAGAGTCAGAACACCGTATCCTCATTGGGCCAAGGAACAATGGAAAATTTCTGTGAGTGCTTTTTTTCTGGTATTTTTGTTTACCACCACTGTTACTACACAGAACCCTTGAGTGAATCAAATGAGAGTATGCCCTAAAAGGCGAAAAGGCTTATTCACAGTGAGAGAGCCCAGTCGAGCATGATATACATGACATAATCATCCCTGTATTAAGCAAGTGCTTCCAAGATTAGGTTTCTACTTAGCTAAAGATGGGAAACCGTAGCAAAAGCGTGGATCATTGGTTTTTGATCAAGTACTAGGTTTAATTTTAAAGGGAGCCTAAGAGAAACTCAATAAAGAAAAATCCATTTAACTCTGTTTTATAACTGATAAACAGTACTGACTGTGGTAGGCTAACCTACCTACCTACCTGGTAGGCTGTCACACTCCCTCTCCTCAACATAACATGGGAGAAAACAGGATGGAAATGCATCATGGGTCAAAATGGAGACAAGAAGATCATATACCACTAACTCTCGTAGGCAAAACAAGATTCCTTTTGGGGAAATACAGTTATTCTGTTATCAGTTAAAATTGAGCTGGACAGTAAGAAACAAAGACAAAAACATAAATAAAACACCTTCCCCTCACACACCCACACCCCCAGTTCTCACAGGCTCAACTTCAGTCTTCACACCTGAATCCTTTCCCCACCAAGCAGCACAGGGGAGGATGGGTGTAGGGTGTAGGCTGCAGTGAGCCTGTAGCAGCATCTTTCTGCTGCTCCTTCATCCTCACACTGCTGCAACATGGGCTCTCCACAGGAAATATCCTTCAGGAAACATCCACCTGCCTGGAGGGCAATGATGTGGACACCTGCTCCACCATGCCCCTCCTGCAAGCTGCAGAAGACTCCGCTCTGGTGCCTGGAGCATCTCTTCCTGACTCCTCTGTCCTTGGTGTTTGTGCTGCCATTTCTGGTTTGTGTTTGGCTTTTTCTCTCCGCCACCACCCACCAAGTGTACATCTGTCCTTAATGATGTTTTCACAGAGGCAGACACCATATACATGGCTTGGTGGTGCCATGGTCTTGGTGGTGCCCTCCGCAAGTGTCTATTGAGGCCAGCTGGAACCAGGGCAGCCCCTGGCCTTGTCAGAGAGGCCCTACAGCATGGCTGCCACAGTCTGGCCACTTGCACCCTGTACACTGACTCACCAAAGTTGTAAAAATACAAACCGCCTGTTGGGATCTATAACTGTCAGTTTCCCAGGGACAGTGCTGGTGCTTGGTTTTGTACTTATGCGATAAACGGAATTGCTTTTACCTTGGTAATGCCATTTTCTGTCTGCCACTGTCTGCATTTACTCGACCTTGTGATGTTTTGTTTTCTGAGTGCAAATGCGTCATTTAGGGTAGTGACTAACATCCATCACCTCATGAGGATTAGAGCCAGGCAAAATCTTCTAGCAAAAAAAGATTTTCTTTGGAAAACCCTCATTTGAAAACGTGTTTTCACTGAGCATTTTTTTTTCCCTCTGTCCCCCAGTGGAAGTATTTATATGATAGAAAATGAAGCTTAAGGGTCATGAACAGGGAAGGATCACTTAGAGCTGTGCAATTCCTGAGAGAAATTTCTTCACCCACTTACGTGGTCGTCTTCAGCACTTGACTATCTTTGACTTTTTTAAAGCTAGTCCAAAGTAAAACGCCAAGAGTGAGTGCAGGATGGGTATGCTTCTACAGTACCCACTCTTTCACTTCACTGATTTGCCATAATTATGTCATCCAGGTGGTCATTTACCAGTTGCTTTTGTTGCCATTTGTAACAAAAAAATTGTTATAAATTTGTTAGAATTTTTGTTACAAAATTTGGCGGATCCGAAGATTCCCCTTATCACAGATTAATATTTTCTGAATTATTCTTCCTGTAGCACAGAAGTTTCATTGGTTTGATGAATGTAGTCACTGTCACAGAATACAAGCACAGCATTACCATGCTATCACTCCTTTTCATTGCCCAGTGATTTTCATAGTGTCTTTTTCTACATTTTAGACACAGGAGCAGGTGATCTGAAATAAAGCAGCAACCCCTTCTTTTGATGGCTTGTTTTTTTTCTATTAAAAAAATCCTACTTTCTGAATTAACATCTTACCAAATCAGTGCTATTTAATCAGTGACCTGAGTCATGTATTAAAACTTGCAGATTTTCCAGTTTCTTTCTTGCACACTTTGGTTTCTGTGTGGTCAAAATGCTTCTCTTTGGGGATATATATATATATGTATGATTTACTATTTTTATTCAGAGAAATGGTTCTCTTAGCTATCATTTCTTAGCTAGATGTGTGCTTTGGAGTGAAGGAGTGTAATATTTTTAGCAGACTTGACATTTTCAGTCTCTTTTGTAGACTCTGGTCTCTTTTTAATCTTCTATAGTTATTTCTGCAGCTTTAAATGGAAATACTCCTAAGCATTTTCCTGTTCCCCCTAGGGATGTTCTGGTGCTGTTTGCAGTGACGTGCTCAGTGAGCTTCAGAGGGGGCAGTCAGACCTCTGTGGGACTGCGTATGTCAGCGGGTGCCTATCTATAATAGTTCTCTAGAAATCAGGCAGCTGCTTTCTCATGAGGTAGATAAACCCCACAGAGGGGAAAATGCAAAATTCAAACTATGTACCAATAGAGCTTAGATAGTATGAAGATATAACTGACAGTATGTTGAGCTTGAGTCCCTCTTACTTAGTATGACACTATTTACTTCTGTACAGTGCTTTATGATGCATTAGTTCTTCTTGCACAGACTGCCTATCTGTCAGGTTTAGAACTTAGTAACCACTTAGCTGCCCTTTACTCTTACTCTCCTGGGGAAGAAAACAGGGTTAGCTCTTCATCTGCCCCATAATTCAGCAGCCAGAGCAGCAAGAGAAATAATGTGATGATTGTTTGTATCAGAGACTGGTGATCTCTGCTCAGTAGACCTAGATCTCTGCTCCTCTAGATCTCAGCTCAGTAGACCTAGAGGCTCATCAGAAATAGAAAAGAACTGTCTAATTTGGACAGGTTTTCTGTTTTCTGCATATGTGATTTGCCTAACATGGGCTTGCTCAGTACATTTTGAGAAATAAACCACTCATTAGTTAGATAACTGAAACAGCAGCAGCAAAATTTCTGAGTGCTAGAGAGGTGCGTTTTGTATTTCAGGCCCAGGCATTGCATACTTTTTCACTACCTATCAGCAGCGCATGTCGGTATTTTCTGTCCATCTGTAGGCTGAAGGCTGTGGATTTGAGCTTGTGAATGTAGCTGGTCAGGGACTGTTTCTCTCAAGTTGGTCGATACATTCAAGCCTGGTAGCTGAGTGAAAGGTAAAACTTAGAAACATTCAGTGTCTAAGAGAAGTTCAGGTGTTAAGATGTGACTTGGAGCCTGGGAAAATAGGAGGAAGGTAGGTTTTCAATGAGATGTACTATGAGGCTATTCAACATAAACAGGTGCTAGTATTTGACAAAAGATAATCTTGTTTATTAAAATAATACATTTTAAAAGGCTAGAATATTTCTCTATAGTCTTTCACAAGGGTCTCTATAACTTCAGTACACCAGAAATCTGCTAACAGTCTGACATGCGTACCTTGAAACAAAATCCAGTACTGCAGTCTCTGTGAGAACACATCTATCACCCAGATTTCTTAAGTGATGCTTTGCAGCACAAGAAGATTATCAAATCTAGGTTTTTTTTTTTTTAAATACCATAAATATGGAAAGAATTTAAAAGCTTCCTGAATATGAATAGCATTGTGAATCTAACACAGTGACTCATCCAAGCATCTCATGGCATCTCATGATATCGAGTCTAAACTGTCCCTTATTTCTCACAACAGTTAGCACTAGTAAAACAATTTAGAAATAAAAAGTTTTGAAGTGCAGTTTTCCGTAAGTCTTCTTGTCTTTTGTCTGACCAAAAATCTGTGGGTTTGATACATGTAGCAGCATATGTGTACATTAATCTTACTGTCTTCCACTAGGGATTTACCACTGGTGGAGTGCATTCTGAGCTAGGTGATTTATCTGATGTTTAAAGTATTCTTTAAATAAATCTATCAGTATTGTTTGCATCCATAAATGGAATTGGACAGCGTTAATATCAGACAAAGAGAAAACAGTCCTATTAGACATGAGCTTAATTCAGAGATGTTAATGATGAAGCTCCTCTTCAAACTACCAAGCACTTGCTAGGCTTAGATGACCTAAAAAATTTTCCAAGATACATGAAAAAATACAGACATTGAACCATGCTTCTGGAGATTCCCCTCCACAGCAACCTGGATGATGCCCACAGCTATTTGGGAGAGGTGTTTGCTGATCTTCAGTGAAGTGCACTGTTAGGTGCCACTTGCAGACCATTACAGCAGGGCTGTGGCTTCTGAAGGCTATCTATACACTGCTTTAGCAGCAGAGTGGGTTGGGGGTGTGAAAAAAACACTGAGATATCTGACTGAGATAGCTGTATCAAGAAAATCCCATGTTACAGGTGCAGTTATACAGCAGAGCTACTTGTTAAGGAGCAAATTTTAGTGGAGCATAGTGTATTTTGCTGGCAGGGTAATGCCAGCATTGCTGGCAATGCCGGCTGAATAGTCTGCAATGATGCAGTCATTCTCGCAAAGGTGTTTCTTCACTGTGTAGCTTACTAGCGTGACCACGAATTAAAGTTTTAGGTTGTATTGTAGATAGCAGTAGTGTGTGCCTGAGCTAGCTCCTAAATTCTACAGTATGCTGACATTTCTGAAACAGCTTTTAATGTGTTACTAAACAGAGAAATTATAACCCCAAGAGAACACAAATGTAGATGAAGACTGCACTCAATCAATTTTTTCCTTTGTATGATCCTTTTACAGATAACATCAAGGTCATTCCTTATTGCACTCCAACTCAGAATATGTGCAGTCATATTTGAAGTGATAATGACTAGCCATATTGTTAATAATGTTACGAGAGAGAGATATTCATACAGGCGGACAAGCAGGGAATGGCTGGAGTTTGATCAGCAGTGGGGAATGTTGATATCTCTGACATCAAGGAAGCTGTTATAACTGAGAAGGCAAAGCAAGGCTGAGAACAAACTTTTAACACACCTTTGGATTCAGGAATGATAATATTTCACACCATTCCTAAAGCAAGCATTTTACTAGTTTATTTCCTTCATTATTCTCCACTGTAGAATGCTGTGACTTCTTTCCTACACAGTCAATGAGGCATATTGTAATAGCAGTTTATTCTTTTTTTACCCTCAGGGAATTTTTTTCCTTTAGAAAAAAGAGATCAGTTGGCTTTTCACTTGGAAGCAGAAAAAACAGACATTCGTTCTTTTCCCTCCAAGCAAAAATAGAGATTCTACCAAATGAGAAAACAGATAGCTATTTACACACTTTGTAATGATATACCAAATACTTCCTGGTTGCTATTTTGATTACATTCACAGAAACATAAAAAATACTCAAAAGTACACTGCATGAAAATTTAAATCAATAAACCTTTTTTACATTGCATTGCATAACAATTTGAGTTTCTCAGATCTTTCTAAAATTGCTCTTTTAAAATGTATGTCTTAGAAAATCTGGATACCTTGGTGCTTCTCTCATGTATCTATGTATTCAAATTTGCTTTCAGTAACATTGTTCATTATCAGTGGTTTCATTGTTCATTATCACTGTTTCTGATTAATCTCAGTGTGTGAAAAGATTGTTTATTTACAGGTGTTTCTTATCTGTATATTCTCACTCTGTAGATTTGTATTTCACTACAATTGCCATGAAACTGAGGACCAGGTGATATTTCACTAGTGGCTTCCTTCCTTGTTGAAATACTTTTTTGGTTTTTTATATACAGCTTTTTAAAATGAAAGATTCTTTTGTTGTTGTTATCAGTACTGTCTGTAATTTCCAAGCACATTGAGGCAGATAGTGCGTTTGGAATTTCAGGGTTTTTTCGTTTCATAGGAGAATTTCATATATGAAGCAAGACCCCAAATCTAACGTGATAGCCCGTAGTAGTACAGGCAGCATCCTCAAGAAGATGTGAAAACCTTGATTTCAATTTTAAGAGGTTTCACTTTATAACCTTTCAGTTTGAGCAGCCTTTTATTTGGTACCATTTTTTTGAATACCATTTTTCACAGTATCAGTACTGTAAGATATTGGGTATAGTGTACCCAAATGAAGTTTTGGAGGCTTAGTCTAACCTAGGCAGCCATTATCACAGTCTTCATAACCAAAATGAAATTGCAAATCATGGTCTGTGACTGTACTTGTCACCAAAGGTAGTAAAAGTTTTTGGTTTGATCTATGATGGTAAGTTCTGTGAGAGCACTTTTTTTGGACCAGTAAGGGATCTCATTGCCAAAACTGAGACTTAGACCCTTATTTGGTTGTTGCTTCAATGCTCTTGACACTTCTGCTCTTCAGACCTGTGTTGGAAGATAGTAGTACCTCCTGTTGTGTTCTGCAGGGATCCAATTTGTCCTGGAGCTGACTGGCTACAGTTTAAAAAAACACCTGGGCTATAACCCCAAGAAAAAGAGGCTGTGTCTGGGAACTGGTCAGTCGTAAGTGTTAGAATGGAGATTTTTTTGTGCATGCTGTGATAGGGGTGTCTGGCCGAAGTTGCTGTGACTGTGAACTGCAGATGTCTTCAGAGTTAATGTACCTGTTGGAGTGGGGGAAGGGATTGCTCAGAAATGCTCTCTTAAACCTGAACTCTTCCTAAATCGTGCACTGAATACTGATAGGACTGTTTGCATCTATGCCATGGTCCCTAGAAATCAGGACTCTTCTCCCATTGATGAATGTGATTTCAAGAAATGTTTACAATGCCACTTGGAACAGTAAAAACTCTTGCAAATGAGAATCGGTTTTAGTAGAGCTAATTGTGTTGGAACCACCATTTCCTCATGAGAAACACAAAAGACATTTTTTACTAGGAAACAATCCATTGCATTTTTATAATCTTACGTATGCTGAACAGAAATCTGAGTGCAACGAAATGCTGTTCATTTGTGTTATAGAAACAATGTCTTACATTCTGAAAATATTTTTCAGCCTTATTTGGTAAAAGAAAGTCACAGACAAAGTAAAAGCCGTTCTTCCTTTTAACAGAACCTGTTGCTCACCACTGGTCAGTCATCACAGGAAATCAGCACTCTGAGAAAATATCTGAATATCATGAAAGACCAGATTGTGGTGTTTCAAGTTGCTTTAGAGATACTAGGCAAGTTACTTTGGTTTCAGAAAAAAGGCTGACCTTGGTTCTTTTTTTTTTAGCCAGTGTCCTGTTCACATCTTATGCAGCAAGAATCACTGCTTGGAAAAAAAACAGTTGCATGAGCAGTTCAGACAAAACACCTTTAGTTCAGCCTTGAGTGGGTCAGCTGAAGAGCAGAATTTACTGCCTCTGCAGTCTTCTGAGATATGGTAGCAAGGACTAGTGTTACTCACAGAAAAGTTTCACAACACTTTAGTGAGCATATCCTGCTATATTTCTTTTCGGGACTTTTAAAAAATTCAGGGGAGAATGAGTAGATTTCTAAGCACAATGGAACAAGTAATGTTTCAGTGTTGCTGAATCTGGGTTTTTCGTAAGACAAACCCATTATTCCAGAAAATTTTAATCTAGCTCTATTTCTGTTGCACTGACAGCAGCAAGTGAACATAGGCAACTTAAACTAAAAGAAAAAGCATACTTTCTAAACTCAGAAGTGCTATGGAACTAGTATAAAACTCGTATCTACTCTGGGAACAGGCACCAGAAGACACTGGTCCCAGTGTGAGCTAGCCTTGAGTACACATAAAACAACTCTGCCAGTCTTCAGAGGCATCTCAGGTGTTACTTGCAGATCTCCTGTAAGAAAATCATCCTGCCTACCTATGAATTCTAGACAATGTCTTTACATTTTTTGATTTCTCACTGCTGAAGTTTAAACCAGATACATACTCCCAACACCATGGAAATTTCATGTGAATTTCATTTGAAACCTGCAAAGCACTAATGTCTTCACCAAAATTTTAAGAATTTATGATTACAGAAACGTATGCTTTTCTTTACATTCCCAGTCAAACAAGATGCTTCAGTGCACAAAGATTTTCCCTTTATTTGTTATTTCACATTATGTTTTTTTAGTATTTTATCTTCTGCCCTTACTGTCATCTCTTTATTTCAAAATAAGAGATATGAGAGAGAAATCTTGCTTTAGCGAAGGCAGTAATCTGTTGTTTTTAATTCTAGGTCAACTTTAGAGGACACTGAAGTGTAGCTGTTTGCATATGCTGAATCCTGCTCTCAGATTTCCATGGGCTTTGCAGGCCTTCAGTGCATAAGCCTTCAAATGCTTCCTTGCTTGGAGAGTGCTTTGTGTGCTGCACAATGTTTTGTAGCTGCCTAGCAAAGAGCTCCACATCCTGAATTTTTTTGTTGTCATCTCTTGCCTTTTGTGGGAGAAAAAAAAAAAATAGGGAATTATGTCTAAACCAAATGACACCAAGGAATTAATGAAAAGCTTAACAAAATGTCTTTAAAAGTTGCAGTGCTGATTTTATTTGGTTTTAATTCAAAAGCTTAAATGAAAGGGTGATTTTAAAAATAACCATCAGAATCTCTCTTATTTCTACAGTATCCGAGAAAGAGACAGCAATGGTTCCTATGCCCTGTGTCTGCTGAATGATGGAAAAGTACTGCATTACCGTATTGACAGAGATAAGACAGGGAAGCTCTCCATACCGGATGGGAAAAGATTTGACACCCTCTGGCAGGTCTGTTAAATTTGAATCACTTGGATATCTGTCATCATATTTCTGTGTAACTGAGTAAGGCAGCTTGTTTTATGACGCTGTGTGACAACAGTCTTAATCTAAACAGCAGCATCATTTGGCAGGTTATTTTTCATATATTTCAAACTTTATGTGGTTTCTACACAGGAAGAAAACATATGTTAGGATACACATAGCTTTACTATGTAAGTGTAGAGAGTTTGATCTTTTTCACATGTGATATTGCAGCTTGGGACAGTTCAAAATAGCTGTAATTATTATGCAGGCAGCTGAATATTATCTAGAGTGGAGGACCATTTGCATTTGCAAGAGATCAATAATAGCTATGCTAGGTACAGTCTTTTGCTAATGAGCTTATAACAGCAAGAAACAGAATTCTAGGAAGCACAAAGGAAATGGTTTAAGATGCTGTACACATACTGCATTCTTTAGCTTTCTAATATTCTACCTTAAAGGCTGAAAAAACATCGTTTGCTGATGGTTACCACCAAAATATGTCTGAACCCTGGTAAAGATTAAGCAATTAAGGAATTCATAGTTGACTATGTCATAAATGGTAATAAAGTGAGTATTGGAGAAATGACTGTGTAAATTGAAAATGCTAAGCGAATTTAAATCTCTGCAGAAATCTCTTACGTCCTCTTTGCTGAAAATTCTATTAAAACAAGTAAAGTGAGCCACAAATCTAAAATATGAGTCTTTACTTGTATATATTCATTCTTAGCCTTTCCTGTAAAAGTCCTGCATATTACTTTCCTGGAGTCAGTGGAAATTTAAAAGCAGCTATGCTGTCTTACAAGTTTTTCAAATATGTCTGCAACTTTTTCACTCACAGACCCCCCTCCTTTATACCCAAATGTACCAAAGCCAAAATACCAGTAATAAAATGGCATGGTGAGGACAACCCAGGAGCAAAAATGGCCACAACTGTTGGTGCTATACATTTATTAATTCCTTACATCCCACTGCGACTTTGTGGGCCAAAGAAAGCATTGCTTATGAGGACAATTCCTGCACTGTAGTTATACCTATTTTGGGGAAGAAAAAAAGAAAAAAAAACAAACTGACTTATAAAAAGAAGTGATTTGCTCAGAGGTACAAAGGTAGCAGAGCCGGCTGTGGAATCCTGAGTCTTACAAATTCCTGGATCAGGTTCCAGATTCATCCATAAGGTTACATCAGAAACAAATCCCTGCTAAAGAGAAGTAAAGATGAAGTAAGAACATGTGCAATAAAGATCTGCTGCATGCCCTGTTCACTTGCTGTAATATGTACCAATCGTACATATGCACACAGTTTTAAAGAGACAATTAATTATATCATCTTTACCTTTTCATATCTTTTTCTCTTCTTTTCTCTTTTTTTTTTCCCCTCTCATTCTGGTAGTTAGTTGAGCATTATTCATACAAACCAGATGGATTATTAAGGGTTCTTACCATTCCCTGTCCGCTTGGCTCAGAAAATGGTGAGTTATTCCTATTATTTTAATATGTATAAGTAACCATGGTAATGATGATAAAGATGTGTGCCTTTTTTCCACTTGCCATGTAGGTGGGTACAGATTAAGGTAGATTAAATTTGGATTAAAAAAAATATATATAAGTTTCCAACTTTTCAAATAAGTTGTGTCAGACCATGCAGAATAGAGGCAGATCCTGCAGATTAAGGGAGGCTCCCAAGTCCAGTTATGGCTGGCTCTCAGTTGACATCAGTCGAGAATGTGCTTTGCTTCTTGAAGTGGCTGTGTGTGTTACGTGGCCCCCACACACTAACAAGGTGGTCATCCTGGCACTCCTCCAACTGTCCTTGTTCCAGGCTGAGACCAGCATATCAGCAGCAGTGCTATAGGCATTCAAGTTGGGTGCAGTTGCACCCAGTGTTGGAGAAAACAGGGCAGAACAAGGGATTGGCTGCACCTGATGTTGAAAATGGGGGTCAGAGAGCCATTCTTTGATAATCTGGGAGAAGGGGAAGGGATGGTGGTGTGGGGGGTGTGCCCTGAGGTTCAGTATATTCTTTGTCCTGTTTCTCCTTTAATGTCATATTAAATACTGATGAGACCTTGTCCTTCCTCTTGCCCTGACTGTCAGGGAAAAAAAAGATGATTCTGCTCAATCATTGCCTAACTTGTGCTATTCCAGAAGTGGTGTTCTTTTTCTAAGGCCTTCTGTCATTCAAACTAGATGTCGGTGCCATGGTGGGAGGATATGCCCATACTTATTCTGCTTCATCAAATCACTTTAGGCACTACCCATACTTTTGGCTCTGTGGCAGCAAGTACCAGAGTCTGCTGCACATTGGAGACAAAAGGAAAGAGGGTTGGTAAGAAGAAAATGCACTGTAATGTAATGCAATTTAAAAAATAGAAAGTTGGTTCCCTATGTAAAAGTTTATGTTCTTATAGTACATTTCTCACCTTGCTCAGCATCCTTCCACATGTGATTATTTTACAGATAACGTTGGTTTTCCTTTTCCTGGACCCCCTTCTAAGGTAAGAGTAGGTGGTGATATAGCAACAGCATTCATTTGAGAAGACTTGCAGTCACATACTGCTCTATGAAGCCTAATGCTTGTATATTGTTAATCAGTGAATTTGTTTTTATAGGTATATAAGTAGTAGGTTGAAAAGAATAAGCCTAATATATTCTAGCATGGTTATTGCTTTCATCAGAGTTTTGCATGAGCTGTTCGTCGTTTAATTTTGTGAACTTCTTTTTTATATATAATGTATGCAAAAATCAGTATTTATCATATGCGGAATGCCTCATTGATCATCATTCTATAGTGACTGTATCAACATTAGGAGGAGAGATAATGCCTTGTCCATTTTGAGAATCTACTGGCTGAAGTAGAAATTGAGGTTCAGTTTTTTTTAGATTAGGTGTGTGCACCTAACAGCAGACTTTGCAGAAGGGTTTAATTCTTTGTGTACTGGGGAAGTTCTTTCATCAACTCCATGAAGAGTGAGCAAGCCCATCCGTGATTATAATTGCCTAAGTTCTTAGGGTCCATTGATTAGAGGAGCCACCTGAGGTGTAATACATAACACCATCTCGTTCAGCTGTAGCTGATCTCATCTGAAATCGGGAGTTTAATTTGGTTGTGTCACTACGCCCTGGAGAGCCTGATCATCTAAGTCATTATCTCAATGCAGTCCCACATCATAGAAAAAATATTTTTGTTTAAATAAGCAGTTATATTTACTTCAGTACCTGTGGGTCCATGAACAACCATTCTCCTGCCACAACCTTCTGAAAATCAAGTGCCCCGTTAAATCATTGGAAATTACGCAACCAAAATTGCCAAAATTATGCAACCAAAGTCTTACTGTAGGTATTTAACTTTTCAAAGAAGTAGTAACAACCCCCCCCCCATGTATCTGACAAAGTTGATTGATATTTAGGACTGTGCAACAGAATAAACCAACCTCTTCTCACCAGCGCATTGCAGTAATACCACCCCAGTTGTTGATGATGCTTTACAGGTGAAAACGTAGGTCATGCTGACAGGATGTGATTAATCTTGGCTAACATTAATGAATTTAAATCAAGAGCCAGTCATTCAGGAAATGACAAAGGCTTGCTTTTGAGGAATTTGAAGAGAGAGAGAGAGATGGTCGCACCCAGTGAGTTGCAGTCAACAGCTCGATGTCCAAGAGGAGATCAGTGACAAGTGGACCCTCCCCCTCTGGGGTCAGTAGTGGGACCAGGGATGTTCAACATCTTTGTTAGCGACATGGACAGTGGGACTGAGTATACCCTCAGCAAGTTTGCCGATGACACCAAGATGTGTGGTGCAGTTGACACACTGGAGGGAAAGGATGCCATCCAGAGGGAGCTTAGCAGGCTTGAGATGTGACGAGTGCCAACCTCATGAAGTCCAGTAAGGCCAAGTGCAAGGTCCTGCACCTGGACTGGAGCAATCCCAAGCACAACTACAGGCTGGGTGGAGAAGGGGTTGAGAGCAGCCCTGAGGAGATCTTAGTGGTCTTGGTTGACAAAAAAAACCTCCACATGGCCCAGCAGGGTGCGCTTGCAGCCCAGAAAGCCAACTGTGTCCAGGGTTGTATCAAAGGATATGGTTGGCCAGCAGGTCAAGGAAGGTGATTCTACGTCTCTCTGCTCTCATGGGACCCTGCATCCAGTTCTGGGGCAATAGCACAAAAGGGACGTGGACCTGCTTGAGTAAGTCCAGAGGAGGGCCATGAAAATGCTCTGAGGGCTGGAGCATCTCTCCCATGAAGACAGTCGGAAAGAGTTGGGCTTGTTCAGACTGAAGAAGAGAAGGCTCTGGGGAGACCTTATAGCAGCCTTCCAATACCTTAAGGGGTCCTACAAGAAATTTGGAGAGGGACTTTTAACAAGGACATGTTAAAATGTGATAGAGCAAGGGGGAATGGCCTTAAGGTGACAGAGGGAATATAGATTACACATTAGAAAAAATTCTTCACTCTGAGGGTGGTGAGGCACTGGCACAGGTTGCCTAGAGAAGTTGTGGCTGCCCCATCACTGGCATTGTTCAAGGCCATGTTGGATGGGACTTTGAGGAACCTGGTCTGGTTGCAGCTCCCCATGGCTGGGCATTGGAACTAGATCATTTCTAAGGTCTCTTCCAACCTACACCATTCTGTAATTCTATGAGATTTAATTCCACCCTTTAACTTCTCTAGCAATAGCTGACTTAAATATGCTTGGTCACTTTTTTTTTTTTTGCATACAACCATTAATGATTTCAGGATTGATCAGTAGTAGTTATGTTTAGGAGTCATCATGATAGTTAGAAGGAAAAGATATGAGTGAGGGTGTTAATTGCATATTTTGCAAATATTCTCCTAAAATAATGTTTAAAGTTACAATATGTTTGACATTCTGAACTTCTTTAAACTGAAATCTGAATGTTGTGTTTTCTTGAGTTTTCTCAAACAAGCCTGTTAAGTTACTTTCCTGTAGTATAAATATAGAAACAGAAAGTGAAAAAATCTAAATTAATATTACTGCTTATGGAGCTCAAAGACTTCAGTTACTGTTGCCAGGTTGTCATACATTAATATCGTCCTCAGTAACTTACTGAAGACCATTTGTGTAGCTCTTCTTTTGTATGCAGGGGCTAAAATACAGTGATTTAGATTGCAAAAAAATGCATCCTGAAAAGAACAAATACAATCACAAGATCTTACATAGAGGGTATGGAATCTATATTCACCATCAGAATTAATACTGCTTTTTAGAGTATTTCTGAAGTACTGCATGTTTTTTATTTTACAAAAGGAATTGCCAAAATATATGAATTGGGATTATGAGTATTTGAACTAGGTGCAAAAGATTTGTGTTGAATTGGAGAACTGTCCTAGAAAAAAGAAGGTGAAGTTAAGTAGAAACTAGCTCAAGGCACTGTACTTCTAATAGCCAGCTGTAGAACACAGGATGATGGGGAGCAGGAACAGATTTTCAGGGGAGATGATGCCTGTAATGAATCAGAACAGGAACAAGGACCAGCAACCATCATGCTGGTACAAGAAAGGGAAACATGAGGAGTTTCCAGCTTGTTCAATACTCATAAGGTCTCAGCTGGAATACTTTCACCAGTTTTTGGCACTGCACCGAGGAATGTTAGCCAACAGGAGATAATGCAAAGCCAGGCAACAGGAAAAATAATGACTTGTGAGAATAGAGTGGTTAGGAAAAAGGGAGCAAAATTGAGACAGAACATGATTAATAGCTGAAGAATGGAGGGGAATGGCCTGTTCTGAGGGGCAATCCAATGCTGGTGTTCCTATCTAGACCTATTTTTCAGTAATTATTTTATTTTATTTTATTTTTTTAATATCTTAATGCCTGAAATACACTGGTGAGATTCCAAAGACATAGTGGAGAGCATGACCAAATATGAAGTTGCTTGGAAGCTAAGAGAGTATATGACCACTGGGGAAAGATCTGCTGGATGGTATCCAAAGCAGACTGTCCAATTAATTTAACCAGAAACTGCTGGTGTGGTTGGAGTAAATTTTACCACATCAAGAAAGCAATTTTATTAAGAAAGCTAGGAAAGATACTGATCCTAACCACTAGAAAAGCTAGCTTTTGAGAAAAATAAAAAGTAAAAAAAGGTCAAATTGGGTTTTTTGAAAGTTCAGAACATCCAACCATAAGTCATTTTAAAGGTTGTTTAAAGTAACTGAAAATGTGGCTCAGATAATTATTTCAACCTGAGCATCAGCCTAAATGCTTGGTCATCACAGTTTTAATTAGGCAGGTAGGTGCTCTGTTACCCTAGAAATGCTAATTAGTCCCATTTAATTAAACAAATGCATTATAGTAAGGTATATTTGTATTTCTTTTAAAAATATCTTCATACAGAACATAAGTGCACATTTAAAACCTAAAGCCTGTTCATTTTTGTTTGGAATTAATATCAGTTTGTGTGCTTTTTGCTTCAATAGCCACGTTGTTGTAAGACCAAGGTTTGCTTCAAATCTTGCTTAATTAAATCAGACTTGTAGCCACCAAAGTTATTGTCTGATTTACATTACTAGATGTGTGCTAAAGTTCAATAACTCAGGCAGGAGAAACATACTGTGTAAAAGATCTGGGGAAAGGACAATGTGCATGAATTTAAAAACTGCGTTAAGGTATATGGATATATTCAAGATGGCTTGAAAGTAACATAGTTGAAAGAAAATTTTGTACTAGTATTTCCTGTAGTGCATTTGTCTGATGCATCATATGTGTACTTGCAGGCACACACAAGGGAAAGGTTGGGAGTGTTTTATTCTTGTATACTACATCTGCTTTGTAAAATACCTTTATTTATTTTCCTGACATATTTAATGTTCCTTTTGATCTTGTGGTTTCTAGAGTTGGGCAGGAGGTGGAATTATCTCAAGACTCAAATCGTACACCTTTCCAAAGGCTGGCAGCAAAAAGGTGCCTCATATAGTCTCCTCAGGTTTTTGAATGAGTTAAAAGGACTTATATTTGACTAATTTCACTCTTTTGTTTTACTCCCCTCATTTGGCTTGCTATTATAGATGTGTGTCTTGGCTAATAACAATCTGATTGTGAAGATTTTTTTAACTTTCTGCTTTTTTCCTAATCATCTGCATAAGTATGGCCTTGATTTTGTAACTAAAGCAATAGTTTTAAAGAAGTTTTTAAAACTGTGGGACTATTTTTAAGTAATTTCTCACATCCCAAAATTTTAGCGCAGATCTCAAAATGTCTGCAAATAAAATGTGATAAAATGCTTTTCAAAAAAACAGTCACTTACAGCAGAACAAAGTGATATTTCTACTCCGAAATATCATTCCTAATCAGGAGATTGGCTTGCTTACGTAATGATACTGAGCACATTTAGGGAATGATTTGTTAATAACGGCCACAAAGTATATTCTTACAGAACCAGTGTGCACAAATCTTGTTATGCATTCATGCTAATTACGTTTGCACAAGTGTAAGATGTCACAAGACCAGGTAGAATGGGAAAGGTGATAATCAGGGAGTCAAGGGAAATCTAGCTGTGTGCTAATGAAAATGCTGTTGCAGAAGATTGTGTTTTCCAGCAATTGATGTAGTTGTGAAGCATGCAGTTACGAGCTTTCTTTGCATGCTGGGAATACCATGTGTGTCCCTGTTCCACCCGTGAGTCTTTTCTTGTTTATTTATTTATTACCAGTTGCTCTTTAACGAAGACGACCAGGCATATAAAGACATATACCACCCATTAACCCCAACATGCAGAGTTTGCTTTAGACCTGGCTAATTAGGCAGTTCTCTTACATAAAAACTTTCAGACACTAAAATGGAAAATTTACGCTTGGAATAGTCTTGGAAATTACATTAAAAAAAAAAATCCAAACCACAAACTGTTTATTTGCATATAATTTTAGTACTCAGATCAAAAATTTTCAAGCTGTTTTACTGTAATGTAAAATTGACAATTTAAATGACCTTGTGCCACCTAGTGGTAATTTATGTTTTCATAGCAAACTCTCATGGAAGATTTGGCTAAAGTTTTTATCATGCAGTATTTTGCCATTCAGGTTGATTTAGCAAAATAAGAGACTACGTTTGTGTGTTTGCAAATCAGGATTATTAACCTGAAAAGAGCTTGCAGTTGCTGTATTGATCGACTTTGTAAGTATGTTCTTTACTCTAAAATTATGATCTTTACTGTAAAGATTGGGTTTATAGTAGTTAAAGCCGTTTCATTCATATTTTTAAACAAACACAGGAGGGTCTTGTTCCCATTCCATCAACCAGATTCTATCAAATCTGCTCAGGGGTTATCCTGTTAAGGCCTTATCCATGCATAGAAAGCGGTATTCCTTTTGCTAGAAAGATACCTTTTGAGTCAGTGCAAAGTCTCTGCCTTCTGCTTTCCTCTTATTGTTGGTGTGTCTGTATTTCTATAAAAGTGCCACACTAGTATAGCTAGTCCCTAATAAGGAGAAGAATGGCAAATTTAGATGAGCTTAACTGAATAAGATTAGCTTACCTGAGTAGTTTAACCAATGAAAATCAAACCTTAGCAGAAGGCAAAAAAAAAAAAAAAAAAAATTGATGTGCGAACAGGACTGGATCACAACAGCTTTCTAGTATGAGAGCATAAACTGACAGCCTGCCCCAGAGTTTAGAAGTGTCCATACCACAAGGTGTCACATACTATGCCATTTGAAATCTTGAGCTTACTGTTTTCAAAGGCCTTTCCCAAAGTGCTTGTATCTCATTTCTTGTTAGCTTGGGTTATGGTGAGGAAAGGTGGTACACAATCTTTCTACTCATCTAAAACTGAGGAAAATCTGCTGAAATTGTAGCCTTCTGATGGATGAATTTATATTCCTTGTTATACAACAATAACTACACAAGCTCCATCCAGCATTTGACTGTTTATGGAAAAGAAGAAAACAGAGCTGCATGCTTCATTGGTTAGCTTGAGCCTGAGGCTACAGCTACACCTACACCTACAACTGAGTGACTTTACTTAACTGTGGCTGCAGAAAAGGTTTCAGAGTTTTTAGAGGTGGGTGTGCTGTGGGACATGGTTTGGGTTCAGATATTCCCATCACATTTTTTGGTGCACATTTGAGGTAGTCCCCACAATGAACAGAGAACAATTGATAGTGCTGTCAACCCTTTCAAAAAGCAAAGGAGGCCCAGAGTAATGCAGGCTCCTTTAGATGTCATTTTCTGAACACTTAACATTTCTATCAGAAAGGTTATTTTAAGTATAAAATATACAAAAGCATCATTTAAAAGCATGATCCTGTCATCCCTAAGTATTTCAGAACTTTCCTTCCAGTATCCTGGAAACTGCCAAAGAATCAGCATCTCAGTCCCTTCCTTAGGTAGTCATATTTTTATCCTTTTATTCCCACTCTACTCTCAGACACTTTGGCCAAGAAGTGTTAATCAGAGGCATCCATAAAATCCATGCAATGTGGCAAATTGAACTTGCTTTCTTTGTAGTTTATCTAGCAACAGGTATTTATGTCAGTCCATATTGCTTTATATCAATTCAGTTAATTGATTCCAATTACTTTTTGGAATACAAAATTATCTCCCTTTTAAAGTATAAATACAGTCAACAGAGAAATCAAGAATACATCCAGGAAGCTATCAAACAAAACTATAATCTCAGTAATAATAATAAATGGGTCATAGTAACTAGCAGTAAGATTGAAAACCTTAAGTATTCTTAATGTGTTCTGAAGCAATAAAGGATATATGAAATCACTGTGGTCTCAGTAGGTATAATTCCATCTGATTTGGTTTTGCTTTGCAAAAGGTGATTAATATTTTTTTACTGAACATAAGCATTTTCCTATATGTCCTGACACAGTGTAGAGAAAGACTGTCCTGAGTGTTCACAGTGAAACTGCCAGTCTATTATTTGAGAGGTTTAGGATTGAATTCCAATTTTAGTGGGGCTTGGGGATTTAGTGAATGGCCTGTGTGTGAAATAGAGTGACACAGGTCTTGGAAATACAGTTCTTAACTTGCAGACCTGGCCAAGTGTACCAGACTAGAAAAACAAAACTAGAGCTGAAGATCTTGTTTTATACCATTCATTTGCCTCCTTTTTCTTGAGATTTGCAGATCAGTTTGATTCCTCTCTCACCTGTCTCAGAACCATCTCAGGGCTCTTGTGGCTTGCCCTGACAGCAGATGGCCTTTCAACACTGTTCCACAAGACCGAGCAATGAAAATCAGAAACATTATTCATACCATCCCTGAGGTCACCATGCTCATCCCACTAGGCAAGAATCTTGCTGCATTTTGGCCTCCAACTTGGGGTTTGCTATATTATTAATACTACATTATCTATGTAGTATTACCTTTTCAGCTTCATCCAACAAGTGGGCAGAACACTTCCTTATGATTTAAAAGGTCCATACCATCCAAGTCAGGCATTTTTCCTACGAAATGCAGTTTCCAGGTGATAGAACTTCTCTTGCACCCAGTAATTCACTCCTGGTCATTTCTCAAGCTCTGTTTCTCTTTACTTGGAAAGCACAACTGTTTCAGGCAGGACCTTATGCCACTGAAAGCTTCAGTTACTAAAAAGAAGAATTGCGTACTCAAGTAGTGTTTTGCAAGTACAATATGCTTTGTTTCCTATTCAAGCCAAGCAAACTCATGTTGATGTTTGAATTTCTGGTATCAAAACACTCTTAGGAGGGTGAGGTCACTCATGACTAGAGTAGAATTTTCACACTGAGAAACAAAGGGACTAAACTGCAGAAATAAGGTCTGTAATTCTCTGTTCCTGACAGTTCGTAAACAGAAAAGACTATAAGTTTCTCTCATATACTTTATAGTGCCAGACTCATCCTTCAGCCAAATAGCATGAAAATATGCTGTGTTTATGCTGGGATGGTTAGTGTGCTCCATAGTGTTCCTTTGATGAATAATAAAGAAATAGGGATTGTATTTGAAACAGATGCTCAAGTATAGTAAGAATTAGGTCAGTTTCTACCTTCTTAGAGCAGGCTGACTGGTCTAGTATCTGGTCCATACTCCAGATTCATCCAAGTGGAGTCACTCTGTAGCATCCACAGGGGAAACAGGGAAGTATTTTTTGTTTGAATTTGTGTTAGGAATTTCTCTGTGGCATAGGTATGGACTTGGAGAGGGAGGAAGGACAGATTAAAGAGAAATTCCTATGACTAATTGTGTTACAGGTTAGACTTGAAAAAAGTATGTAAATTTAGTATCTGCAGAATAAGATTTGTGCATGACCCATTCTCTCAGATCAAATGCTCTAAAATATTTGCAAAGCCTTTTTTGTGCTTTAGCAGTGTATGTTTTATTTGGCCTGCATATTTACTCAAGCAGTAACCTCCAGAATGAAATAACTTTGCTGGATCCCTTTCTCATTTTCCCATTCTCACCTGTGTGGCTGTTGCAGTCATTGTGCCGTAATCCTTGGGGAAAGAATGCTTTTAACTTACCAATTCATTGCTAAACATAAAACCTCTATTGGTGTGCTACAGCTTCAGCCAACTACTAGCCACCCACCTGATGAAGCACCTTTTAATCCTTACGTACTGCAAAGGAAAAGAGGTCTTACAGGAGTGGAAAAAGGTAGGCAATTTATGTCATTAATGCAATTTCCTACATTATGCCAAAGATCTCCCATTAACCATATTTCATTTTTCTTGCATTTGTGTCACACCGTGTTGTGTATTGGTACAGCCACTATCATAGCTCAAGCTGTGAAGCTGAAATTGCCACGTCACCATCAGTAATAAAAGTAATTTAGCAGAAATCTTTTTTCTATGTTGTCATGAAAGATTATTACTTCTTTGACTCTAAAAGCTGCATCTTCCACTTCATAAAAGGAATTGTGCCCTGTTGCATCCACAGTGCAAAGCTAGTGCTCAGACTTTCTGTAAAATGTAATTAATGATTGTGCTAAAAATGAGCTACATATAAGGCAGCATTCTGAGTGAAGAATTGTCTGAGGTAACTAACAGGAAATACTAAGGAGAAGGGCCAGCCTTTAACCCTCCTTCCATTAAGGAACCTCCTAGTTTCACATTATGCAAATGCTCAGTAGTTAGAGCATGTCACCAGGTGGAGGTTGCTCTCTTTTGGGGTTTTCTGAAGTGCCTGTAGCTGGACTGCCAGTGGTTTCTTCATAATGCCCTCCTAAGTCAAACACACTGATGATCCTGAACATAGAACGGGTGAATATATAAAAGCCGTGGCAGCAAAAATGTCTTAAATAATGTCTGATTTTTTCATTGATTGACCTGCAGGTGATCAGAGAGATGCCTTACCCATGGATACTGAGGTTTATGAAAGTCCATATGCTGATCCAGATGAAATGAAACCAAAAAATGTCACTCTTGACAGAAAATTGTTAACCTTGGAGGAAGGAGAACTTGGCTCAGGCAACTTTGGTACTGTAAAGAAAGGGTTCTATAAGATGAAAAAGTAAGTGTTCTCTTCTGCTTTCATGGAGTCTAATATGTAAGAGCTCTAGCCTTTAGTTTTTCAGAGCAGCAATAATCTGTGCATTTCATTTGGGGTGACAGATTGCACCTGAATAATTTTAAATAGCATTCACCAGTTTCTCTTTGTACATGCACTCATACACTCATTTTCACAGAGTCACAGAATTGCTAGGGTTCGAAGGGACCTGTGGAGATCTAGTCAAATCCCCCTCTCTCTTGTTTGCAGACACCTCTGCCTACAGCCTAGCCACCTCCCAGCCATTATTTTTGTCTGTGAAGTGAGGAAGTGCCCTTTGAGACAATTTTCTCTCCTGTTAGGGATAGTAGGATGGGAAGTCCACTGCCTTCCTCCATAGTTTGTATGGGCAGTTGTGCTACTACTCAGTATGTCACATCTGCACAACTGCTCTTTGAGAAATGGTATAGAGTGACATGGATAGCTTACCTGTATGTAGCACAGAGATTTTCACCTAAAATAATTATGATGAATACCTATTTCATGAAGCTGGAACATTGATTTTCAGGAAGACAGAACATGTTATGCCCTCTTTATCATGTTTTTGCAGTGGAACAGACACTGTTTATACTGGGAAAATTGGGAGCACATTACTATTAATGCATTTTCATAGTAAGATGTTATCCATATGTTGTTTAAGTGCATGGGCTGATTATGTATACAATTTCAGCACTTGAAGCTGCAAGCATATCTTTAACTAAGGTTTTCAGTGCCAGGAAGGACTCTTCTTTTTCCAGTGCATCTGGGGGGTTTGAAGGGCTCTGGTCCCAGCTTGTGTGTTTGCTAATCTTATTTCTGTCAACCACATCAGTCATTCTTTTATTTAGCTTTTATTTATGAGCTGCAGGTTGCAGGGATAGGTCTAGTTTCTCAGGATTTCAGTGCACTGCCTTGGTGCCTTTCAGTGCTGCATGTTTTAGTCTCACCCCAAAAATACTTCAGTGCTTAGAAAGACCTTTATAGCTTTTCTTGCCAGAAAAGCTTTATGGCATTCTTGCCATAATGAGCAAGAAGATATTGTCCACTACGTTTGTTTTCAGGCTTACTAAGACATTTTTATGACTATTTATAAATTTCTCAGATTCTTTCAACTCTTCCTTTTGTTTAGCTGCCTTCTGACCTTTTGATAGACATTTCTGTTACAGTTGTTTTTTTTTTCCCTTCTGAATGTCAATTCTGTCTTTTGTCACAGTTTGTACAGTGTGCACATATGCATCAGATGAAGATTGTGTGCATTTGCACACAGATTTTTCAGCAACTAATCACAGAATTGGATTCTTTTTCATAGGGGTGCCAAGCCAGTGGCTGTAAAAATTCTTAAGAATGAGAGTAATGATCCAGCCATAAAGGATGAATTACTGAGAGAAGCAAATGTAATGCAGCAACTGGATAACCCATATATTGTCCGAATGATAGGTATATGTGAAGCTGAGGCATGGATGTTAGTGATGGAAATGGCTGAACTTGGGCCATTGAACAAATTTTTGCAAAAAAATAGGTATGTAAGTTTCATTCTACTTCATAGGATTTATCCAAAGGGTAAAAAAAATACAGTTTCTTTTGGTTTGATTTGGTTTTCCTTTAAGGGCAATTTTAAATTCACATGTTGTTAATGTAATAATTAATGATTTAGTTACTCTTTACTGGCACATGATTATTTTGTACTTGTTTTCTAGCTGTCAGATATTTCAGGTAAAACAGTGAATTTTAAATAAATGAAAGAATTTTCACATGTCCTCATTTATTGATAGGATCACACATCATCTTGGTCAGAATATTCTTCTGCTGCCTGTTTTAATTAAAGCTTACCTAAGTATAAGTGAATCAGGTTTCTATATGATGTGGGGAAGTTTATAGTAAAGATTTATATTTGAACTCCATGAAAAGTCATGAAAATGAACTCCTGACCTCTTAAAATTCAATTATGATTTTCAGACATGTCACGGAGAAGAATATAACAGAGCTGGTACATCAGGTTTCCATGGGGATGAAATACCTGGAGGAGAGTAACTTTGTTCATAGGGATCTGGCTGCAAGGAATGTGCTATTAGTCACCCAACATTATGCCAAAATTAGTGATTTTGGGCTTTCTAAAGCTCTTAGTGCTGATGAAAATTATTATAAGGTAAGGTTTGCACAACACGTGAAAGCTGTATAGTAGCATAGCTCAATAAAGTTGCAGTTGTTTTTAAAAGTTGAAAATTAGAAATAATATGTATCATCCATTATTTTATAGCTTGGCAGCATGTCAGCAATTTTCAAAATATGTGATCAACATTAGGAGATGTGTATGGAGAAAAAAGCCTGTCCCTTCTTTTATTTGCTTACTTCTTCTATTTACTTTGTGTAAACTTGTCAGTAAAAGGTTGAAATTTATGGTAGAAATGAGATGCCTCCGTATATAAAAGGGGGAGAATGTATTTGTTGCAGATATAAACTTTTGGGCACATGATTTTGACCATGTGTAAGAACAGTTTAGGCTAGCACACTGTACTATCGACTAATAACTGAATTCAGGGAGGTTTTTGAAAGAACATCACTGGTACATAGTCATTTGCTCTAAGCAGAATATGTTTAGCTTGGTTTTAAATTCACTGGATCTGTGTGAAGCTAAAGGGTCTTAAATAACTGACATGTAATAAGGTGCAAACATCTGTGGGAGACAAAGGCGCTAATCATGTCTGCATCTCTTTTTTTCTGATATATTGCTCTCGTAGTTCAATTTCTTTGTTCTGCACATTCCCTTTCATCAGCTATATAAAACTGGTAAGCTAGACTCTGAAACCCTGCAGAGGAGGAGCAGGCACATACTCCCTTCTGATGACCTTGTGGGAATAGTATCTGCTGTCAGAAAAGGCAGTAACATCTGAAATCACTGCCAGTAGCCTAGCCGGAGCTGCCTGTCAGAGGTTTGAGAATCAGTATCAAAAGCCCATTCCCTTTACAGCTCCACAAAGTGCAGTGGAGTTCTTTCACTAGATCTAGCTCTGTGCTGGGATAGCTTAATGCTTGCATTATCATAACACAGTGTTATGACATAATTTAATCAAACTGAAGTCTGCCATAAGGTGATCAGTCTGCTCTGAAATGGGGCATCAACTTCAAGTAATGACACTCTGTGTAGCTGATTGTGTATCTTCTACCCTCTGTGGAGACCCTAGATGAAAAATCTTACTTTTAAAGAGAACCTTTAAATTAAATGCCACTATAAACATGACTCCAAGTTATTTATCTAAGCTTGTATTTACCATAGATTTCATTTTGGTGCATTATTTTGAAAGTAGAATATTTAGGAGCAAATTTGTAACAATTTTAAAGAAGCTGCTACCCATTCTTTCTAATGCAAACTGTATCAGAAATGCTAGGGTACGAATGTGTGCATATGAATTCTGATGTTGTTTACTACTTTCTACTGTCTCTAGCCTGCTTTTTTTCCTTTCTTTTATGACGTATTTTAGGCACAAAGTCATGGAAAATGGCCAGTCAAGTGGTATGCTCCAGAATGCATGAATTTCTACAAATTCTCTAGCAAAAGTGATGTGTGGAGCTTTGGGGTTTTAATGTGGGAAGCTTTCTCTTACGGGCAAAAACCATATAAGGTGAGTAGTTCTATCTAGCATTTTTTTTTTCTCTAAAAATGCAGAGCAAATTTGAACCAATCCCTTCTCCTACATAAAAAGGTTTATATTACGGGCCAAGGATGGCCTTAGCACCCCATCTGTTGCAACAAATGAGTTGCAAAGGATAGCCCTAAAACCAGCTCCAGGCCTCTGATTGTTTTATACTAGCATGTGTGCTGCAGTCATTTGCAAGTTGAATGACTGTTCTGGTCACCCTGATTCCAGGGAATGAAAGGTGGTGAAGTTGCACAGATGATTGAAAGAGGAGAACGAATGGAACGTCCAGAAGTCTGTCCAACAGAAGTCTATGATCTAATGAAATTGTGTTGGACATACAAGTGAGTATGATGCGATGCTCTCTCTTTTAATAGAAGCATATTTTGGTCTACTTACTTAATAGCCAGGATGGAGGGGAGGAATGGGGAAAGGTATTTCAAAATATGTTGTTTCAGCTGGTGTGTAGCTTGCAACCAACCTCCAAACTAAGGAATCAGTTGCACTTTCAAGTGAAAATTGTTCGAGTTACTGAGTGCACTAAGAGAAGCTGATTTTGCACAGCTGGTTTTGCTGTAATAGTTATATACAAAATACAGGGTGTCATAAAAAAAACAAGTATTTTGAAAAGAAAGTCTGCAATTAAGCAAATATTTTTGTTTCATTTTGGATTGTATTTTGTTTCATTTTAATTTCCAAGACTTTGCTGAAATTTCAAAGTCATATTGCCAAATTATTCATTCTTTTCCTTAATAATTAATTGTTTTGACCTATTTTTCTCTTCTCCGATTTCTGAATATATTCAAAATTGGATCCCATTGACTTCCTTTTAGTAAGAGGCAGCACATCTTTTCAGATCACACATAGTATGTCAAACACATTTTTCTGATCAATAACAATTCAGAAGTTAGAATTATGAAATACAGACAAGAAAGAAAAGAAAGCCTACCTGACCTGTTCTTAAATAAGTGTATTGCAAAAATCTACTAAAAATGTTTTAAGATCTTTCATTTTAAACTATTTTGTTGACCTTTAGCTGTAGGAAGGTCTCCATAAAGTATCCAAAGTTTACTGTAATGTCACTTATTCTCCCAGTTCACCCTCTGGAGAATGTATGTGCCTAGCAAAGGTCTCTGGATTCTTTATGAGGAGCTGTGGTACTTCACTTTTAGGTATCCTGGTGCTTTGTTAGTTTTATTATGCCTAGTATTCTGGAAAGACTGTGGAGCCATTAAATAATTTCTGCCTTTTGGTTTGATTAAAATGCCGTAACAATTCTAGAGTGTAAAGTCTTGGGGTTTTGTTGTGATGAATAAGCATATCATAAAGCGTGCTGCTTTTTTATTTGTATTCACATATCTTTAATATTGGAAAGAAAAAAAAAAAGAAAAAGGAAGACTAAAGTCAGGCAGTGTAACTGTTTCAATGTGTAATGTATTATTGTAAGGGCTTGTTGCCAGTTCAATTATGTTCTCCCAAATCAACAAAGAATTGCAGATATAGAGGAATGACGGTACACATAGTTGGTATATCCATATAGTGTATGTGTAGGCTGCTCTCAGTGGTGGTAAGCCACTCTGTATGACTGTAGTACCCATTATAAGGCAGATATTGTACTGTAAATGTTTTTTTTTCTGTAGATTCTTGCTGGAGGAAATTAAGTAGAAAATGAAATGGAGCTGATTTACCATTTCTTTCTCACAGTACCTTCACCAACCACTAAGTAACAGGCATGATATTAAATCCACTGACTGGATGCTCTGTAGTGATATTTGCCACTTGGCATTCATGTTGGTAGCCTTCAAATACAGTGAGCAGCTTTAAATTAGCTATCACTGAGGTAAAGGCCCGAGTGTTACAAGGACCACGCACTTTCAGAGCTTTCTGCTTCCTGCGCAGTGACACTTGTCATCTTTCCACAGTGTTGATGACCGACCAGGATTTGTTGCAGTCGAGCTGAGATTACGTAACTACTATTATGACATTTCCCACTAACGACACAAAGAACAGCAGTTTCCTTGCCTCCAGCCAGCAGCCTCTGAGAAGCAGTTCCCAAAACCAAGTGACTTTGATTTTTTGTCCTGCCACTTTCACCCTGGAAAGCTCAGAGCTAAACCCTGTATCTGTAGGGTTGCTTTTTCGTGCCTTCTACACAATATCCAGCCCTGAAATAGTGTTAAAAGTGGAGAGGTGCCAAAGAAGCAGCAAGGACATCAGAGAAGATGTATTTTTGCTACATTCCATTTCATTTTATTTACAGCTTTATCGACATTACATTATGCAGTCATGTAAAACCTATTTAATGTCTTTCAGCCCTCTTCCTGTCATGTGTTTGATTGCGGATTAGAATTTAGATTCTTGTCTTTAATATTCTTAGCCATCAAAGGCATAAAAGAGTGGTTCCAGCCTTCACCCTCCCCAAGGAAGAATAGCATAAACATTTTTCACTGTGAAGGAAATTCACTGTAAAAGTGTGTCAGTCGCTTTGACTGACAACATGTTTGATTTTAGCCCCAAGCCTACAACTTGTATTCTTCTCAGTGGTAATGTAAACAGAGGGGAATTGGGAGATGTGAATTTCTAACATCATCTTCTCCTTTAAATGTGACCAACTTCTTTTGTTCCTCATCTCATGTGGAAGCCCAGCTGTCCCTCAGGGAGTAATTTTTTTCCTCAGGAAACCTGGGAACTCAGGTGCTTACTCTCATCTTTCAGCAAAAATTGTCAGACCTAAGACAATGGTTCTGGGTTTTAACATGAACACCATCACTGCGTTCCTGAAACGACAGCTGTGACAGAGCAGCACCTTTCTTTCTCTGTGCTGTTTCAGTCTTCTTTAGAGGTACCTTCTCCATGTATCTCTTTGAGAATCCCAAAACTCCTTGTGTTGTGTTTTGAGCAGCAATTATTTCTATCTTTTTGAAACCTTTCTTGAAAAGCGTACGTGAGAATTCACCACACCATATCTTCTCTAAAGCTAAATTTTACCCCCAGCTCGGATATTTTTGAAACAGGAATATGGACGTCAAGTTTACTTTTGTCCACTCCTGAATGTTGGTATTTGTCCTGTTAGCAATCCCTGTGAACATCTCAGGAAAAGGTATTTGTCTAATCGCTCTTTTGTACTTCACCGTGCATCTCCATTAATGTGCAAGTATAGCAATGGTAATAACGATAATGTAATGAACTTCTGATTCCATTTTTACCCTTATTCTGTCTTTGTCAAATCTCATTTTAGGTATTATAAATAATCAAAATTTCTATCACTTATTCCTCACAAGCAGCTACGTTACCGATATTCACATATATCTCAGGAGTCTACATGCATTGCATCTACTAGACATGGAGATTTTAAATGTATATAAAGAATAAGATTTCAAGTTAACTATATATATGCATATGGCTGGTTATAACATAGGTGTTTAACTGTTGTGTGAACAGGGCGTTCTTAGAGATGCAGTGATAGTTTTTCTCTAGCAAAGAAACTATGGGCAATTACAGTGAGAAGGTGTGAAATAAATTTCTTAAGGAAAGACTATAAGAAATATAGGAATTACAGCAACTTTTTGCAAGTTTATGGTCTATTTTTTAAAAAATACCTGGTGATTTTTGTTAGTTTAATCTCAGGTGTCCAATGCAGGACACTTCAGAAACCACATGCTACTGGAAGATACTGAGTGCAATAGACCATGTTTCAAATGTGACAAAATGTGACTTATTTTGAATATGATCTATTTTTTGTTTTGTTTTTAAGAAACATTTATTTACAAGAACAGCTTGTGTAGAAGTTAGCCATAGTTATATGTAGGTGGTTTGTTGCTTTAATCCTGTTGCAGCAAAATTGTTAGCAGTACCTGTGCAATTAATAAATCCATGGGGATATTAGTTATAAAAAAATTGCACAAATCTCTACTATCCAATGAGTGACAGTACTCAATTTCCCTGAGATAATCTCTCTCTTAGAAAATGGTATCTGGTACAGGAAATTTGGAGGAATATTTCTTCCCCTCTCTTCCGAGAGACTGTCACTTTCTGTTCTTACTTGATTATTTTTAACTTCACTCTTTATGTAATAAAAGTTTACAATGAGAATATAAAGTATTATGAAATAAATAGATTAGGTTTCAAAATACAAATTAAAGACTGTTTTCAAAACATGTTGTTTTAACAAGTATCCTTTAATATTTAAGTACTTTCTATAAATGCTGTTGCTCTGCTGAGTATTTACTGAATTACTGTGATAGCTGTGGAAGACTATCTGAAAGTACCTGACACTGAAAGTACCTGACATGACAGATAAGCCCACTGAAGCCTGGGCAGCTTTCAGAGCTATTCAGGACTTGACTTAGCAGGAAGATCTCCCAAAATACGCATGTTGTTACTACACCTAAGCCCTTCAAGATACTGCTACAATACAGCAATACTATGCTAGATCTGACGGGTTAGAGTTGTCAGGAATGATGCAGAAATCCTGTGCATACATACTGTGCTGGATCTGAAGGGTTAGAGATATCAGGAGTAACAAGATCAGCTGTGCATGATTTAAGTCACATTATATCACATGAACCCCCCCTCAAAGGTGCAGGCAACATTTCTAGGTAGTCCAAGACACCAATAGAGAGGTCTTAATGTTCTAGCTTTTGCCTGCAAGCTCAAGTCCTCAGAAGAGCAAAGGCTGGATGGGACTGAATGTGAATCTGAATAATAAACAACAAAGTCTGAAAGGTAGACAACTCCTGAAGCAGGTACTTACATTTGAGGGCGATCAGTTAGTGACTGACACTACTGCTGCAGTTGTTTTCCTGCATAGCAAATCTGGCGTGATTGTTACACCTTCCCACTTGCAAGACTTCCATTTGTCTTTTGGCTGTCTGGATTTAGTTGTCTTTATTTTTAGATTGACTTGTATCAGAAATGCCGTTTGACAGTGTAGCCCCACAAAGTAATTGTCACAGCAGATTTAAAGGGTAGCAAACTGCAGCATGGAGGAAGGGAGGCTGGTGTGAGTAACTCAGAGAAGGAGTGGGTGAGAACATGTTAAACAGGTTTTTCAGTGAAGGAAAACTGTGTAATTACAGCTTTGGTTAGGGCTTAAAGCTACAGAATCATGGACTTCATTCGAACTATCGAAGGGTCAGGCATGGTTTCCTATGAACACCCACCCAAACTTGTTAAAAACCACAGCGCAATCTCTGCCTGCTTCAAACACTGCACAATAAGGGGAATTCTAATCGGGCAATAAAAAATACCCATGATTTTCACACATGAAACTGTCACGGTCAGGATTGCAGTTCCAATAAGGGCACATCTGAGAGCAGCCCCAGTGCTGCAGCAGCTGCATGGCCTAGCCTTGCTGGGAGGTGGCAATCCTTGGACGCTGTCAGACCAGTGCACTTGTTGAAGCATTTCTACACTCCCCGTCTCTTCCTCCCTGCTGCTGCTGTGCCTGTGAGGCAGAGGAACTTGTTTGTCTTTGCTGCTTGCTGTGAAGCTAAATTCCATGGGAGAAAAATCTTCAGTGATTTATATTGTGAATGGCTAGCTGTGGATGATTAGTAAAGACTTCTGGAACTGTGTCCTGTCATCTTTTAAGTGACACCAGCAGTGGGGGATTGTAGACAGAAAGATAGAGTATGTGCCACACGTGCATAGATAAGAGTAAGGGTGGCATCTTGAATGAATAAGGCAGGGAAACGTTAAGCCAGCAATTGTAATTACCAGCTCTGAGTTTAGTGAGGACAGAAAGCCCATCATTCATGCAAAAGAAGAAGAAAGGAAAAAAAAAAAGCAAAAACCAGCATCTGATTCTTGACAGTGAAGAACAATACCACACTTCAAGCAATCCCAGACTCAGTGGCAAAGAGCCACTTCAAGAGCCAGTATCACCACTACACAGCAGTGTGTCGCAGCGCTACACATCATGGTGCTACACAAAACAGTGCTACACAACACAGTGGCACAACTGCATTATACCCTGTCTCTCTCCACAGGGGCGGCTCATGGGATCGATGGTAGCAGGGGGTGGTTTGTAGGGCTGATGGGCAAGACTCCACTGTGAATGCCTTCTGCCCTGATTACATGTGGCTGGGGGCTCAAGTGCAAACACCTTTACTGGGCACTCAGGTAACCTGTGAAGGTTCGCAGCTGGAAAGGAGGGAAGGAATGAGGGTGAGGATGCAGCGACTATCAGAAAGACAGTTTGTAGGGAGAGAAATTGTCTCCTGCTAGATTGATGAACACTGCTGGAAAAAAAAAAGACAAGCCTATGGCATACATGTCTTCCTTCAGGCTTGTAGTACAACATGGATTCCCATGAAACAGTCAGAGCAATGTAGTCTTCCAGCTACACAAAGCTTACTGAAGCCAGGTTAGCACTGTGCATCAATCTCCAAATGGGTATTTTTCCTTTTCTGTCATATATGCATTAACTGAGGTGAATACCCACTGGGTTCCTTAGCATATAATTAACTCTGCCCCAAGTGTAACCACTGCTTCCCTGAGGCAGTGGAGATGTGCACATTTCTCAATAGCCAGAGCAGCAGGGGAAACGAACCAGCTGGGGAAAGCCTTACACTGCCGTCCATTACAATTCGTAACTTCAACTGTAAATAGCACTTGACTGACCAGTCCAGTATAAATGTGGACAGATCATTAGTTCTCCACATCTTTGTACCATTGCAAATGCTTTAAACTGTCACGGTGAGAGGCTGTTAGGTCCAGGCCTTGCTTAACTGTAGCAAAGTGCTTATGGAGGATGCCCAATGCCACCTTGAAACACCTCATGTGGCAGCAGGTCAGTAAGCTCCCTGTGCCATCATGTTAGGGATACAACCTGCAACAGCAACAGCAAAAAGAAGCAACTTTGCAAAAAAAAGGTTCAATACCATGGAAAATGCCATGAGCCATCATCACACCACACTGCAGCACAAGGATGCTCACTTGTCTGTCCTGCTGCATTTCTACTAGCCAGTGGGTCCACTGATAACAGTCTGTTCTTTTTTTCTTCCTGCTTTGTTAAAGTGAAATTACGCTGGTTTCAGCAACAGCAAGAGTTGACTGACGTGCAAGACCAACTGCACGCTTGAGCAGCAGAGGAGGTAGCAGAGGACTTCTGTATCTCTCTTGTGCAGTCTGAAGAGTGCTTTAAAAGCATTACGCACACATACATGCATACATGTGTGTGTAGTTTCTTGTCATATTCTTTCCTACCTGTGTTCGGTAACAGCCTGCCCTACTGCTGCAGCTCCTACTGCACAGCTACAGCAGTTGTATCTTCAGATCTTCTTCTAATTTGTGTGCAGATTTCACCAGTGTTACCAAATGATTTTTATTTGACTGGTGTGTGATGTTGTGCCTCCAGTACAGTGGAGCAATGACGAGCTGGCAAAGAATTGCTAATTGGTCTTGAGATGTGTTTCTAGAAGATAGCAAGGAAACTGCTTTGAAGGATGTAGCTGTTGGGTGGAGGGAAAGTGGAGCGTAGGAATGTATTAGGAGACACCCCAGAGAAACAAGAAAACAAGTTCACTGAGTTTGCCAAAGTGAACTGGACTTGCGGTATTTTTTCCCCTGTACTTCAGAACGTTGTAAATGCCAATGCTTCCCTATTCATCCGCAGTACTGACAATTTAGCAGTAGCTGGGTATAAGCACCTAGATAATGAATGTAGTTTTACTTCAGCAAGATTCCCACTGTTGCCAGTAAACCCCCCAAACTGGGCCACTTACATGTGTGCAGCTACATTTATCTCCTTGCAGCTTCCAAGGGCCTCGTCCTCCTGACTGCTATGCAGATAAGTGGAGGAGCACCAGCAGCCAGCCCTCTCCCAGAGCCCTCACACTGTCTCTGATGCTCATGGGACAGTGCAGAGAAGCAATGCCCAGTGAAGTTCAGCCACCTCCAAAAGGAAGGCTTCTAACCTCTTTCTCCCAGCATGGCTGGGTTTCTAGGTAATGTGGCCTCTTAAATAGAGCAAATATAAAATGACACAGACATTTATTTTTGAATGCTCCCAGTGCACTAGGACATTAACTGCATTTTTTATTCTTTTTGTTTGTAAATGTGCTGTTGACTCTAATTGATACATCATGTCTCTGGCCATTTTAAAATCCTCTGTTCAGTGGTGTTACTGCTTCCCCAGGGGCATAGAGTAGTCAGGTACTATTTTTAAACTCCTCAGTCAACCATGACTTCCTTTTGACCCGTTCACTCTGTTGCTGCTGTAGGGAGTGAACATGGCATTCCTCATCTTTTGTGATTTCTACTTATAAGGAATAGAAAGGACAAGTAGTGATTCTTGCTGGTGCTGGAGTACTGCACAAGTTAGATCGCAGGATGAAGTACAGATTGAATCATGTCTCAGATATACACCCTCCAGTGTCACATTGTACCCGAGTTAATGCAAACCAGAACTCACACTACACAAGCACAAATACAAAGCTCTCAGTTTGTTACTAAAGCTCCCATAGTGTTACAGTGTTTTCCGTGCCAGCCATATATGCTCTTTTAAAATTACATTAAAAAAAAATAAAAAAAAAAAAAGCCCAACAGCGCATCCCTGTGTGTGTCTGTAGAACTGCATGCGGACTATTGCTTGGGCCATTTAATTGCAAGGAAGTTGGAGCCTGAGCAAATAAATACTCAAGGTTTGCTTGGTTATTGAAGGCAATCATTGTCTGCCTTTTCCCCATATGAAAAGGTCTCAAGGTGTTTGAAGTGCAGCTAGAAGGAGTCAGACATCGGATGCCACACCAAACCCAAACACTGATACAACTGTGAGGCTGCTGGTGCCTACATCTTTCGCTTGAAAACTGCATTATTTGGTGCTAGTACACTGCTGGGCCCATCAATCTGGTACATCTTTCTGCTTGGCCACCAAGAGTCAGCAGGACCTTGCTGATAACTACACATCATGTATTTATAAGCATTTAGGGGTGGATCAAAAATACTGGGAGACCCTCAAACCCATGTTTTTTGTTACACTGTAACATGCACTAGCATTGTTCCTCACATAGTATTATGTTGTGGGGAAGAAATCAATCGGCCCTTCATCTTGGAAGACCAGGGGGACTGTGACCTATGACTTACACATCAAAGCATAGGAAAGAGTTGAAAAACTTCATTCGAGCCCAGGACAACATTATCCAGTCCCGCAA